TCTAACTAAGATACAGTCGCACGAGTCTGACTGGATAAAATTTCAGACATTTCAAGGTAACCATCTCTGTTTTACACAACAGCACTGAAGCTTGATCTGAAAAATATTTTATAAACCGTTGGAACACATTGGCCATATTTGTACGATCCGTAATTCAGTCTCTCAGAGCATACTGGCACAGACTCAGATATCTTCTCAAACTGTGGTAATTTAAAGAAAAATCAGCAGCGGTAAATTTCACTCATGTACATCAATGAAAAACACAATACACATCCAGCTTATTTAACATAAACACGTCCCGAATCATTCGGACGGGTTAAAGTAAAGCTTGCTGGCGAAAATGAACAGATCTGATTGACGTTCAGAATCACAAGAGAAAGTTGTCAATCACGGCATTCGTGAACTCACTGGTGGTCGCGTAGCCGCCGAGGTCACGCGTCCTCACTACCTTGTCCTTAAGCACCTTCTCCAGAGCAGCATATAGCGCTCTGCCCTCACGATGCAAGTGCAGATGGCGCAGCATATTCGCGGCACACAGTATGATCGCCGTTGGGTTAGCGATTCCGCGACCGGTGGCTTCCTGAAAATGATGCGCAAGTTACAAAGGCGAGAGAAATTCGAAAAAGGTACAAGGCCTACCAAAAAGCTGTGCCGAGCTCCGGGTTCGAACACGACGCAGTCTGCGCCGATGCTTCTGCCGCTGACTACGCCGGCGCCGCCGACCAGACCGGCAGCGAGGTTGTCGACGATGTTACCGTACAGATTGGGCATGACCATGACATCGAATTGCTCTGGCCGCGACACCAACTGCATGCAGCAGTTGTCTATGATCAGGTTCTGAAAGACGATCTTCGGATATAGCTTGGACACCTCTTCGCAACAGCGCAAAAACAGGCCGTCACCGAGCTTCATGATATTAGCCTTGTGGACAGCGGTCACTAAGTGGCGATTGCGCTGCGTAGCGAAGTCGAACGCAAACTTGGCAATGCGTAGGCACTTTTTGCGAGTGACAATCTTCAAGCACTCGACCACACCTGGAACAGACTCATGTTCCAGTGCGCTGTACTCTCCTTCGGTCTGTTCACGAATGATGTAAAAGTCCATATCTTTGTGCCGCGTTTTTACGTTCGGAAGAGTCTAGGGAAAACCGCAACAATTAAAATAATATTAAAATCTTTTCCGAAATACGCAACGACTCAGTGCTAAAATTCGACGACAGAAATTTTCAAAAAAGACAGTTTTCCGATATAATGGTTAGCAGCACAAAAATGAGAAAATAAATTTATTTTAAGCCGACGCTACTTCTGGTCAATTCGTGCCCTGACGAAGACGTTAGGTCAATAATAACTAACGAAAAATAACAAGACTAACTTTCCTGCAACATTTGTCCCACTAATCACTGCACCGAAAAACCTTTCGTTTTTAAGACTTTCTATTAAAGGTATAAAAAATCGATTAAGCCGTTAAGAGTCTAAACAGCAAACGCAGATCATGCCACAATAACACTTCGTTAAAAAATGCAAATACCGATATACAGACAATATTCGCTTGTTTTGGGATTTAGGTGTAAACCTCATGACGCCGCCCGTATTTCGTTGTTCCGTAAGAGAGAAATACGGCTATTTAATAACAAACAACTTTACTATTCGCTCAGACGTTCACTGTTAAATGCCAAATAACCAAGCTTTGATTAACAACTCATTTCTAAAACTATTCCACCCGTTGTTAGCAGATAAATTGGAACACAACCAAGAACGGGTAACACGGTAAATGCCGAGTTTCATACTATTCAGTCTTCAGTCTTTGGACAACATCATGTCGGACTGTCTGTCGAGCAAGCCCGCGCCAGTCTGAATGTTGGTAAAACCATCTCTTTACAACCAAGGCCAGTAAGATGCATTTTACATTAGATAAATGTTAACCGCAAAAACTTTCAGTTTCATTCAGTGCTAATTTAATTTAAAGTTTAGGTTAGAATTACGAGCTATAAGAGCAACTGCTCGCTTCGCACAGCTAACTGTGCATGTGTAATACTGGTTAAAAAATGCAAAAATTTACTTTGGTGCAATTTTTAACAAGGAGATTCCGTCTGAAACTGGCATAAAACTAATTAGAACGTATCAAGAAACGAAGCAGATGAGGAATAACAAATTTAAGAAAGATGTCCGTTCTCACCACTAGGCAGACGAAGTTTAAACTAGTTGCGCCCTACAGAGAACGCGATTTAACCGTATTTTTCTACAGTTTATGGTCTTCGTTATTCTAGATCTTGTCCGCGCAGCGTATTGTATTGTACTGCAACTTAGTTTGAATCAGCAATATTACGCAATATCCTGGAAACGGAATTCACATGCACGTGATAGTGGTCTAGTGCAACAGTATAGGTAGTTATCAGGATGATGCAGCCTTGCATAAACCGCTAACGGACCTCGATCGGAATGCCAAGATGTCGAATACGCATCATATAATACAACACCGAGCGTAGCTTCCGTTCTAGTCGGCCACTCCATGTCCATTTGTCACTTATGATCGATTTCAAGTAAGCGAAACCGGCACCTGCTCTACTTATTCCTCTTCAGATGAAAGGTCATGTCTGAGACATCTAGTAAAATTTCATTGCGTTTGTTTCGAGCCAAGAATATAAAGTGCATACGTTTCTGTTCGTTGAGAACGCGTCGCTGGAACAAGCTCACCTCCACAAGATTTCAAAATTTTACGTGTACGACACCACGCAATAAGCGCTTTTCACTGAAATGATCATGGTGCCAGCAACACATTTTATGCAATGGTTGGGTTCATGATAAATACATTGCCAAGTGTTGGATGACCTTCGGATTAATCTGTACTTGGTTCAGAAATATGTCATCCATTCATTCTTCATTAATGTGTGCCTCTGGACAGGTGCTAAACGCAGATGGAACACTGCAGGGACGAGTCTTTTACCCGTGTAAAATTCTTTGATTATGAAATTAACGATCCATGAGAAGGCATAAAAGCAAAATACTTTAGGCTCACAGGTATGTCCAGGTTGCTAACGTTCGTAAAACTTCTGATGATTTCGTAGAGAGCAGTTTTCCTCATCAGACACCATTTACTGACTATTAGCAAGACAGCTGCGTGAAAGTTGACAACACTAAAAAACGGCATGTAAAGCCTATAGGTTTTACCAATGTATACACGTTCACAATTACTGCCCGTAATGCGATACTGCACACTGACGACATCGCTGACACTGAGCCTCCACTTCTTATACACCACGTTCCAAGTCATGGCTTTCGATATGAAGTAGACCAGTCACGTTTTAATTAAGTATTTGTTCGGAATGTAATTTTTAAATACACGCCAAGGGTATAAATTTCCATATTTTTTCTCAGCGCAAACGGCTCTGGGAGTTAACAGAGCTTCGTCATTGCGTAGGCTGAGCCTGTCCTATTCACAGTCAAGGATGGTAACATTTGTTCTGTTTCACTTAATAAGAAAAGGATGCGTAACATCTACACCAGTTCAGTGACATCTGTACGTCTTGGAAATTCATAATGCAGCCAAATAAATAACACAACCTCATTAATTTTCACGATTCTTTTGACTGCACCATTTCAAAACCCAGCCTATCATCATGGTAAAGTTCTGTTATACATTTGTTTGCTCATCTTTAACACAACTGTTGCGTACTTTGTCTGTACTTGACGGTAGAATTGCATACCGCATTGTTGCGTTGTGGAAAATATTTCCCTGATGACAGCTGGCCGGAAGCTGTAAAGTCAGAATAAAATAAAGGAGTACTTAACGTCACGCCCAACGTTACTTACACTGAGAAAAAATAATGATATTTCCTTGTCGTTTCTGACATATAAGACATAAAAAGAAAACATATTATGGATTTACTAATCAGTAGTTAATGTAATTATTAATAAATGAGTCATTATAAAGAGTCCATAAGTCGTAGATAGGAATCTGCTACAAGAGAAATATATGTAAGTATATGAATGTTACAGTGAATCTGCAATATAAGAAATCAACAGTGGCTAGACTCAGGCAGACCAAACAGCTTCTCTTACCTCAAAAGTATAAAGCTTCGCGCTAAGCTAGTACGGTTTTTGACGGCCCGTATTGCTCGTAGTGCCGCAGTCTTACCCGAAACTTTGTGCATGAGCTACTTCAAGGTTCTCTGCATCATTCAACACCAACAGAAAACTTGCCATTGAACCACGTTCTCATAGTCTTCATCATCATCATCTTCCATCGCCGCTTTTCCTTTCGGGTAGCGGAGGCAGACGTCACACACAGCATCAAACGTTCCCGAGCCTGTGCCAGAGTCTGAACTTCGGCAAAAGACAACTGTAATCTGGAACAAAATCCTTCCATTATTTGCACCAGGTCAATCATGGCCGTCCCATGGGCCTTCTGTCGGTCGGATTTGCAAGGAACAGTTGCTTAGCCTTCCTTTCTGGAGACATTCACAACACATGCCCAAGCCATCGCAGCTGTGACTTCTCAATACGGAAAAGAAAAGGCTGCATACAAAGGCTCCTACGGATGTCAGTATTCCGGACCATGTTCAGACGCGTAAAGAAAGAGATTCATCTAAGAAATCCCATTTCAGCAGCTTATACCCGGATTCAAAGTTTTTCAGTGATGGTCCACGATTTATGACCGTAGGTAAGCAAGGGGATAAAGATGGACTTGAACACCAAGAGTTTAGTTTTCAGACTGAGATCTGCTTTAGTCACAGTGGATCGGGCTAATTCAAGCAGAACACCACTAGCTACGCCAATTCACCGGTCGATATCTTCCTCAAATTTTCCATCACTAGTAAATACAATTCCGAGGTACTCTAACTTCTCTACGTGCTCCACTGCCTCTCCATTAATCTGAAGAGACCAACGGGCAGGAGAACGAGAAAGCACTAGGCATTTCGTTTTAGACGCGTTCACACGCATGCCGGTCACGTCGCACTCAGCTGCGAAGCTTTCTAGAGAGCACTGAAGATCAACTTCAGAAGATGCTAATAAAACAAGGTCGTGTGCAAACAGCAACCTTCTCGTCTATACACCTCCTACACCGATACACTCATCGACTTGACAGCTCCTGGCTTCTATCCATGTACAACACAAACAGGATAGGGGACAGGACGTAGCCTTGGCGGAGACCAGTGCGAACGTTAAATTGTTTCGAATTAACGCCATTAACTCTAACGCAGCACCTGCTATCAGAATACAGTGATTGTATAGCCCTTAGCAGCTGGTCATCTATCCCGTATGCTCGAAGGTATGTCCATAGACTGTTGTGTGGGATCCGGTCATAGGCTTTTTCTAAGTTCACAAAACATATGTTCACCTGATGGGCGGACTCCTACGATTTCTCAACAATCTGGAGCAGAGCAAATATATGGTCAGAGGTGCTTCGACCGGGCCGGAAGCCACACTGCTCTTCTTGAATCTTGACGTCAAGTATTTCACGGCACCTAATTTCTAACACCTTTGCGTAGACTTTACCTGGGAGGCTCAGTAACGTTATGCCCCTATAATTGGAGCATTTCTTGTGGTCTCCCTTCTTGAATACGGGTACAATAACTCCAGTTCTCCAGTCCGCTGGTGTCTTTCCCGCAATCATCGCAGTTTGACAGACACGCGTAAGCCAGCACATGCCTTGTTCGCCTAATGAGTTGAGCAGCTCAGGGCGGATTTCATCAATTCCAGAAGCTTTTCCATTTTTCAAGCTTTTCACAGTCTGTGCAATTTCATCTACAGAGATAGTAATATCCGTACCCTTCACTTTTCCATTTTTCAAGCTTTTCACAGCTTGTGTAATTTCATCTACAGAGATAGTAATATCCGTACCCTTGTGCTCTACAGGCCAGTCTTCCTGCGGTTGCGCGGGGTTAAGAAGTTCCTCAAAGTATTCCATCCACAGCCGAAGAATGACATCATCATTGGCAACAGGATGTCCAGTCCTGTCTTTCAAGACTGTGAGACTGTCTTTTTTCACGTCGGAGCCGGCGGATGGTCTGCCAGAATACTTTTTTTGCCGATTCGACTCCAACACCTCACTGAACTTCTCTCAGGAATCAGCTTTGGATTTTGCCACTGTTTTGGCTGCAGCCTTTCTGCTTCGACGTATCATATGCGAGTAGAAGCCCCTTGTTTCCAAGCCATTTCTTGAACGCTGCCTTCTTCTCTTTAACTGCCAGTTGTACCTCTCGTGTCCACCATGAAGATCTTTTCTGACCACCAGGCGTCAGGCCAACCCGTTTATATCCGCAGCATTCGGCGGCAGCCTCGAGTAGGCCTCTCTTAAACAGCTGCCAC